AAGCATCAACGACCCATTTAAAATTTCTACACTGCAGTGGACGCGTTTAAGAAAAAATATATATTGATACCTGAATTTAACGACTTCTGCAAGAACGATATAATGTTCTTCTATGTCAACCATTAATAACGAGCATGAATAATTGTTCCTAAGCTAAACAAACAGACAGACAAACAAGCAACAAAAACACACCAGAACTGAGACTGATACTAACAAACTTAAACAAGTCCTTATCAAAGATTTTTAAGGAAATTTAAGAAAGCAATTACATTTTTCCTGTTTATTCTACTTTGAATTACCCTCACTTTTAACATAAAGAGAGTAAATACGTATGATGCACGATCCTCGCAGTAGAGAGCGCTATTTATGCAATAGCGAAAATCAGACCTGAAAAAAAAAAAAATCAAGCAAAGAGAGTAAACATGTCTTAAAATAATATATTACAAAACCTTTGCAAGCCAACGAGCTTCTGTCAGAGAAAATGAATGCATTACATTTTGACTTAGCTTAGATTTAAAATGCACTAACAAGTGCCTCACACGTAGAGGCCGACCTTCGCACACATGCCACTCCGGCCTCAGACATTTCCCAGAGTCGTGCTTTGAATCCCGAAGTCCCCAGTGTCTAGTGCACCTGGGAATAAAACTTCAGCTCGCTGGCATGCGTAACAGAGATGTGGCATGCGTGAGAAGATGGCTTCCCGACCCCTTTTCACAGGTGCCTCACACGTTGAGGCCGACCTTCGCACGCATGCCACTCCGGCGTCAGACATTTCCCAGAGTCGTTCTTTGAATCCCGTGGTTCCCAGTGTCTAGTACACCTGGAAATAAAATTTCAGCTCGCTGGCATGCATAACAGAGATGTGGCATGCGTGACAAGATGGCTCCCCGACGCCTTTTCACAGGTGCTTCACACGTAGAGACCGACCTTCGCACGCCCGCCACTCCGGTATCAGACATTTCCCAGAGTCGTGCTTTAAATCCCAAGGTCCCCAGTGTCTAGTGCACCTGGGAATAAAATTTCAGCTCGCTGGCATGCGTAACAGAGATATGGTATGCGTGAGAAGATGGCTCCCCGACGCCTTTTCACAGGTGCATCACACGTAGAGGCCAACCTTTGCACGCATGCCACTCCGGCGTCAGACATTTCCCAGAGTCGTGCTTTGAATCCCGAGGTCCCCAGTGTCTAGTACACTTGGGAATAAAACTTCAGCTTGCTGGCATGCGTAACAGAGATGTGGCATGCGTGACAAGATGGCTCTTCGACGCGTTTTCACAGGTGCCTCACACGTAGAGGCCGACCTTCGCACGCCCGCCACTCCGGTGTCAGACATTTCCCAGAGTCGTGTTTTAAATCCCGACGTCCCCATTCTCTAGTGCACCTGGAAATAAAATTTCAGCTTGCTGGCATGGGTAACAGAGATGTGGCATGCGTGACAAGATGGCTCCCCGACGCTTTTTCACAGGTGCCTCACACTTAGTGGCCGACCTTCGCACGCATGCCACTCCGGCGTCAGACATTTCCCAGAGTCGTGCTTTGAATCCCGAGGTCCCCAGTGTCTAGCGCACCTGGGAATAAAATTTCAGTTCGCTGGCATGCGTAACAGAGATGTGGTTTCACTCGTCTTCGTGCGCGCACACAGTATAATGGCATATACCCAATGATGGCTAAGGCAACGAAAACTATTGCATTATCCAATGATCCAGTTTAAAAAAAAGTGACGTCATTTTAAAATTTCATCTGAATATTTGTTTATCTATTTTCATATTTTATTTGTATTGTCTGCCATCCGCCGACCGCATTCTCGTTCTATGGAGTAGGGAGGCTGGATGCTGGCATTTTTTTTGGATATCTCTACCTATGGGGGAGATTATACTGGTTTAGTTTTAACGACACGCTCATCCCGTGAATGACTCACTTAGACTTTGCAGAGTAACGTAAGCTTAGGCTTGCATGTAAAATTACAATTTTGATAAAGTTGATCAGACAAGACATACAAAGAATTTCACAAAAATGCATGCGAAGGGGCGGTGCTGAAAAACACGCTGTCCTGCTGAATGTTAAGTGAAAGATTAATTAGAGGGTCCCAGTAGTTAGGTTGATGAGTATTGAGTTATTGAATTTTTTTTTTTTTTTT